AGATCCAATGGCGCGCCATCGAAACTTTCCGCCAATCACCGCATCTTCCTATGATGGCAGTCTCAGGTAATTGGTTGCATAGTGGCGCAATGATAAAAGTTTCCGCCAATCCACGTCCGTATTTTGAGACGGCCAATGAAACACGGACATGCGCGCCTCACATCGAGGTCGATTGTGCGTGCTTTTGCACTTGATCCAGACTGGCGCTTCCAAGTTGTCATTTTCAATTTTCCAGTAAATCGACAAGAACAAACATGTCTGGTCGTGGCAAGGGCGGCAAGGGTCTCGGCAAGGGCGGTGCTAAGCGCCACCGCAAGGTCCTTCGCGACAACATCCAGGGTATCACCAAGCCCGCCATCCGCCGTCTCGCCCGCCGTGGCGGTGTCAAGCGTATCTCGGGCCTCATCTACGAAGAGACCCGCGGTGTCCTCAAGGTCTTCCTCGAGAACGTCATCAAGGACTCGGTCACGTACACGGAGCACGCCCGCCGCAAGACGGTGACGGCCATGGACGTCGTCTACGCGCTTAAGCGCCAGGGCCGCACGCTCTACGGCTTCGGCGGTTAAATCTGCGTTGCTTGACGAGTGCAATCGCTCACAACGAAGACTTCGGTCTCATTACATCTGGTGTTTTTAAACACCACCCTTTCGCCTAAGAAACGAACCATCGGGCCTGTAGTCTGGGCTGCGAAACTCAGTAGATGCAGGCTATGCTGTGTGGAGTCGCAGTAGCCAAGGTAAAGTGTGAGCCCTGATATTGATAGTTGAATATGCCGGGGCATACAGATTGAGACTGCACACATCTGTGCATGTGCTGCTACATGATTGCGCTGGGTTTTTGACAGGAAGTGCCCAATTTTCGGGCCCGTTGACAATATGTGCCCACTTTTTGCACAAAGTGCCCAAATCAAGATAAATTTGAGTCGGCGTTTATCTTGATTTGGGCACTTCGTGCAAAAAGTGGGCACATATTGTCAACGGGCCCGAAAATTGGGCACTTCCTGTCAAAAACCCCTGTGCATATGTCATATCGAAGCATGGCTGACGCTGAAGGTCTATTGCCGTCTTTCGTCCTGCTGAGCAACGCTTCAAGTACTAGTGCACGATACCACCGCTAACGTTACTACAGAATGAGCGGCGGTCCGAAGAGGATTGCAGAGCGCAAAGGCTGTCAATCTACCCATGCAATCTACCTGTGTTCCCGAACCAAATGAAGCACCGAGGCGACTGGGTGCGACCCGGCAGACTTGAGCATCACAAGAGGGTTGATGACAGGGGAGGTAAGAGTGTGAGGGTACAGTAGTGCTCTCTCTCGACTTGATTGACATACCCAATTTCACAGGCTGCGCCTCGCCCATGCAAGTCATACATAGCTATGGAGGCCACAAGTGATGGCTGTGTCTTGGCTGCCATCGTTGCCATCAACGTTGAATTCTCATGCAGCATTGCTGTGTTCCTTCATTCGCACTCTCGTAGCCTAGCCAGCTTTACTACAAACGAGATAAAGCTCGATCAAAATGATTGCTCCAAGGCACTCGCCCAACCTCGGAGGCTAACGACGGACAGGACCATGGTGCCAAGGTGGCGGTAGCGGCCTCATTCGTATCGAGGGACCAAGCAGCTATCTACCTCCATCAGGACGCGACATGCGTTAATCTAAGGACTTCGCTCTCACCCCAGCTTTGGTCAGCGCAGACCAAGGGTACATAAATTCAATTTTTGTACCCTTGGCGCAGACGCAGAGATCAAGATGCGTAGTTTTCGGGTCGTCAGTAGCCCGTCGCAACACAAAAGAAATCTCAGTGACAACTGCATTATCGGAGGAATACGATCGAGGTCAACTACTCAAGCGGACGCCCGCAAACAATTTGGCCATGCGCCCACACACATTTCGGGACAACAGGGGGCATAGGACGGGGACGCGCACCCGGCTGGCACATGGAGAAAGCACCGTCCACCGTCGGCTTGCAGTGAAAGTCGCTGAGGCAGTCGGTGTCGACCTTGCAGGCCTTGAACTGTTGGGCCGTGACAGCAGATGCGATCGCGAGAACGGAAAGAAGGGAGATGCTGTGCATGATCAATTCGAGAGTGAGGTGGCGAGAAGACGATGCTTTGGTCGCATCGTTGGGCTGTCAAGTCTGTTGGCTGGAACGTGCGTGGTCGAGTGGGACCTCTCATGGGCTGGACATTTCCTCACCTTTTCAAGTGCAACGGCACATACTGTGTGAGGTCCCATATCGCGGTGATGCGTCGAGCGAAGCAGATGCGTAGTCGTCTGCCGATTCCCGTCGTTTGTTTCCCGTTCTCTCAAGCGAGTGTGCCGAGGTGTCGTTCAGCGCACCCTCCATAGTACGGCTATGTAAGCACGATGACGAGCACTGCGTCTCTTGCCTCTACCAGTGCTATCAATGGTGGCACGACGTAGCTCGTCGAAGAGAGGCATCTTCGATCGTCGCTGTCCGGACGCAAGCAGGTTTCCGGGGCAAACTGCCACGACGCGCAGGTTCTTTTGGCCGCGAGGGAAATTGCCGCCCAACCTTGGCGCCAAATTGCGCCTCATGTTTTTGAGCTGCTCGACGATTGGTGCAGTCGACGCTCTCCCGAGGATGCCGCCTCTTCATTGGTCTATTCCTGACATCACAGAAAAGTATTCCGCCAATCAAATATGGCAAATTATGGTTGCGCCAATCAAAAGACCGTGTTTGCGCCGCGCGCGTTCCAAAAGACGGCGATGATCAAACGACAGGCCGCTGCTTTTTCATTTTCAGTTTTCCCTCCAAGAAACACATTAACAAACATGTCTGGTCGTGGCAAGGGCGGCAAGAGTCTCGGCAAGGGCGGTGCTAAGCGCCACCGCAAGGTCCTTCGTGACAACATCCAGGGCATCACCAAGCCCGCCATCCGCCGCCTCGCTCGCCGTGGCGGTGTCAAGCGTATCTCGGGCCTCATCTACGAAGAGACCCGTGGTGTCCTCAAGGTCTTCCTCGAGAACGTCATCAAGGACTCGGTCACGTACACGGAGCACGCTCGCCGCAAGACGGTGACGGCCATGGACGTCGTCTACGCGCTCAAGCGCCAGGGCCGCACGCTCTACGGCTTCGGCGGTTAAATCTGCGTTGCTTGACGAGTGCGATCGCTCACAACTGAGACTTCGGTCTCATTACATCTGGTGTTTTTAAACACCACCCTTTCGCCTAAGAAACGAACCATCACCCAAGGCCAGAACTACCCGACAGGAGGTCACCAGGACGAACTACAAATGGTGTAGAGTGGCCGACCACTGTTATATGGCGCCAAGGGCGTGATCCATCCATTGCAGGCAGGTCGGCTGGAGCCATACTGGAGGGCGTGGTAGAGAAGACTGAGCATATTGCTGCAGAACACATTGATGCATGGATTCCATCCTGGCACGTGCGGGTATGTGGCGTGGGGTGTCAGACAGCGGACGCGTCGCTACCTTGACGATGGATCTCTGGTCGACGGCGGAAACACCGTACGTGATGAGCAAGTGTGTATTGATATACTTCTACGACTACTGGAATATAGGACGGGCGCAGGATGGGATCGCATCACTCGCGCTCGTTGCGCATTTCGATGGCGAGTTCGTGGAGCATCTCTGCACTCGGCGGTCGGTTGTGAATGAGCTACGAAGAGTCACGTCGACGTCGTCGTCCTGTATATATGGTGTTGAAGGAAGTACTACCTTGCACATGAAGGTGAGGATCTGGACCTTGCCCACCTCGGCAAACGCGCGGGCGCCGTACGTAAAGAACTTGATGCGCTTTCCATCCCCGTCAATCTCCGTGTCGGACGCGAGGTACATTTGCGCTTCGAACGTCTTGATGTGCTGCTGGACGTCGCCGAGCTGCGGGTGACGACCTGGTGTATTGGTGACCGAGCTGTCGACGAGCAAGAGTTGCTTCCAGAGGTCCTCTACGCAATGCCGCATCCTCGCATGCAAAACTTGAAGGAGGCGTCACAAACCTTCGACGAGGCGGCGGCTCGGCGCGCACCAAATGAAGGCGAGGATCGTCATGAGCAGGCCGCGCGTGACCTTGCCGTATGCCTTGTTGACGTGCAGCAAGTGGGCTTGGTCTTGAATCGCATTGATGATGAGGTAAATGTCCTTCTTCCCGCTGCCGTTCGGAAGGATCTCGTCGACGGCGACGACCTTGTAGCCAAACACCTTTTCGAGT